AAAAAAAAAAAAAAAATATATAGCTAGTTTCATACAACCTCCAGTTAAGTGCCATTAGTGGGTGGCTTCTTACTCAAGTACTCATGTATTATATTTTAACTCTTATCAAATATGCTAATTGTGCAAAATTGTACAGATTGTATATATATTGTGTAAAATAAAAAAAATAAAAAATAAATATTTAATTTTTTTTCTGGGCTTTTTTCCGCCTACCATTAAAAATACGTATGCATGGTTTTTTTTATTATCACTTAAAGTTCAGGTTCTTATGAAATTAGTCAATATCACAAACATTTTCAAATCATTTTGTGGTTAAAAACTTCTAAAATGTTCAATTTTCATTGCTAGGAAATTGAAATTTAAAACAAGATTTCTCATAAGTTGGTTATATTGTAACCAAAAAATCTAAAAACATTTACAAGCACAGATTTTTTATAGGTATTTTAAGTTAAAACTTAATTACGAAATTAGATGTTTAAACCGCAAAGATTGTGATATTCGTTCTTACGTTATAATTCAAAAATATTTTTCGTGATAACTATCATAAGTTATAACTTTTAATTATATTATTATATTTGTGGGGGTAAGTAGGTATATAAGATAATGTGCATTGTCACACCTAAGAAAATTTAGTTTGGTTACATTCCCGATAATTTTTCAGTGTTTTTGGTAAATACACAATGTGTATAATTCCTCATCAATGGGTGGCGTACTCGACGAAGCCTCAAAACATAATTGTGCACCATTTAAGTCTATATTAATCAGTTATATAACATAATACCTATGAACTATGCAGGCGGCATGCAGTGTAAACGGCGCTTGCGTATAAAACGCTTCCGCCACTTGTTGTTAATAACACCTACACCGTGTTCTAATATAGTATAATATATATAAGTGTACCGCACATGTCATACTGCACAATGTGCCGCAGGACGTTTCCTCCACGAGGACCGTCGGCCACTGTAAATATCGATTATCCGTGGTGACAAAATATTTTTTTAAACCACCATCCTTCTGACTTCCAATTTATTTTATGTACAAGAGTAGGCACGTATAGTTGCGAGTAATAATCTTAGTCAAACCGAACACACAGACAGATTATGTGGCACGAAGAAGATGACCTCCGTGGGCCACAGCCGCGTTGGCCGAATTATCACTGTACGCGGCTTCATCACCATCTGCATCATTACGAAAATAATGGTAAGAATATTTATTGTTAATTCAGGGAATATAATTAATATAAGCCACTAAAAAAAATGTAATATACATGCATGGTAAAAAATCTTTAATTTGTATATTTAATTGTTTATTTATTAACGAAACCTTTGAGTAATAAGCCTTAAGTATTTTGATATATAATGGCTGCACACAAGCTGAGCACATACCAAATCATGTAAGATATAACTGTGTTATTTTTTTGACCAATAGTATATTCTATTCATCAGTGGTACTGGTACTAGCTAAGTGTATCTAAAGTCCTAAAGCATTATTTTTTTTAACAACATTTGCATAATTTGCATTAAATAATTTAAATTGCAATAAACATATTTGACAGTTGATTATTCATAAGGTACCTACTTCAATGAATATTTTTAAAAACCTTGGAAGTTAATCTACTATAATAGCAGGTGTCGAAAGTGTAACTCGTTATTGAGTAGGTCACTGCGGTAATGAATGTCTTTAATTTTAATTCAATAATACATCATTGCAAAAGATGAAAAACGATTCTGACCGAATACAAAGTACCTACTTAAACAAAATTATAAGAAAAGAGTGCAATAACAATTTTAATAATATATTTTCTCTCATATGGATATTTTTTTACATGATGTATATGTTGCATGTATATATAAAATTATAATAAATTGCTATTAGTAATAATCAAAATAGGTACCTTAGTTAGGTTGAACTAATTTTTAACAAAAATAAATCGCATGACATATAATATTATTTCATAATTTCATACAATATTACTAACGTATAGGTATATCAATACCGAAGAACGGTGTTAATATGATTATATTATATGTTGTTTCTTGTTATTTATTATTTTATATTTTGAGAGTAGTGTATCGATTGTACAATGGTGTGATAAAAATGCTCCGATTCTCGCAATTAGTATATTTTCTGATAGAAAAGTGAATGTAGTTGGTACTTTCTGAGAGGTCCAAATTGATATTTCATAGACATTTTTAAAATTATTAATTTTTACGCAAACCCAATTTTAAAAAAAAATTAATTTTATATTATTGGTATAACTTAAAAACTAATAACCGTAGACACTTGAAATTATTAAAAAATATTTATATTATCATTTCTTATACTTAATCAAATTTTTAAAATATTTTAGCTGTTTTTGTAGCCATAAGAATATTTTCTAAATTTGTAAATTATTTTTCAGTTAAAATTTCAGAAAAGTTTTTATTTTCATAGCTAACATAAGGAATTTTAATAGAAGATTATCAAAATGAAGATTTCTTCTTCTATAAAAAAACAAAAATGTTCACCGGAAAGTTACGCTATTTATAGCCATGAAATATTTTTAATTTCTAATGTTATTTTTTTAAACTATTCAATTTGATTATTTATAGTTTATACAAGTATCCATGATCAGGCTTAGGTGACACAACGTCTCCTCTTAGAATAGTTTTACACTGATTTATCATTGAATTCAAATATAACTCGTATATTTCAACTACTCTACAGTACAGCGGTATCCACTGATCCACCTTTTTAAAAAATTATTTTTTTAATAATTAATAAATTATAAACTGCTTAAATGTTTCCCCATAAACAATAGCCACTACCTTCATTATTTCTTAAATGTGATGTAGGTAACAGTTCCACAGTTGGAATATTTCAAACATTAATACAGTAATCCCCAGTGCCGCAAAAACCGGGTGTGCAGAGTGTGCGGCGCATACGGGCCTCAAGGCTTACATACATTTGGGAGGCCCGGCCCCGGGCCCAATTTGGAGCAAACACTGAAATTGTCTTAAAACTCAAGACTTAATTACTCATAATACTTTTTTTTTTAAGTTGAAACATTATTGTAGTTGTAGGTATATACTAATATTAGATTAAGTAATAAGTATGTTGAAATGGATGGTAGGTTTAGAAAAAGGTGGGTACCTATCAAGTATTCAAGTGTCAAAGTTTCTAACTTTTTAAGTACTATCAATTTTTCCATAAGATCTATTTTTATCGCGTCTATGGGTCTTTGTTTGTCGAATTGTCGGAAGAACAACAGGCTGATAGCGGAAAACGCCGACGGTTTATGAGTGACGACGTACACTACATTTATAGGTATTTAGTACTGAAAGGCCTCTGAAATCCGTTTAGTCTGCCTTTTTATTTTTATTAATTTTAGCTTATTCTATAACATCACATTCTTATTGTTCCCTTTGAAAAAGATTGAATAAAACGTATGAACCAAAAAAAAATTTATATATATGTAGGTATATACACAAAACCTAAAAACGTTAGCACTTATAGATTGTAATACATACAGTAAAATTAATTTAGGAAGGCGCCCAAACAAATATTGCACACGGGCCCCTTATTATGAAGTTGCGGTAATCCCTCATTATCCGTGGTTGAGTCCACGATGCAATGTTATTAATACGATAACGTTTTATAGTTATTATTCGACCACTGTGGATAATTTTTATTTTAGACAATTGTAGAATTGTAGAATGTAGATAATACAACTAAGTAAGTACTTTTGTACTTATTATAGATAAATACCATACATGATACATGAGGTACCTACTACAGACTACAGAAGTACGATTAATAATCGTCAATTATTATGGTTTCATTATCCACGGTTTCGTTATTCGCGCAATTTTTCTAAAACGCAACCTCCGTGGATAACGAGGGTCGAGGGATTACTGTAATATAGACAGTGTTAGAAATACAATTTTAAATAAAAATAATAAAATCATTTTGGATAACTAATATTATATTTACTATAAATTTATATTTCAAATTTAATAACTAATTATCAAAGGTACATATTTTATATGTTTTAAATGTGTGTCAATGCAATTAAAGGTACCTAACTAAAAAACTAATTATTTACCTGATGTAAAATTGCCTTAATAGTTAGGTACTATTAATTAAAGCTTTATTAGTTTACTCTTTAAATCATTTTTTTTTTTTGGTAATAAAAGTACAACCATTTGTCAATATTAATTTTTGTACAATTTAAGGAATTGAAGTGAACACAACTGGAAATGGTTTTATCGAAGTTGGCCGTAATCAAAATAATATGTATTATCCAGTTTCTTATGTTATGGTCAATGACGATGTTCAAGAACAAGAACATCATCATTATACATTTCCTCAATTGTTGATGAGCCGTCCACCACCTCCACCTACACCAGCACCATCATCTTTACCACCTTTGATGTTATCTTCACCACCTCTACCAGACTCTTACTATGTCCACCAGCCATTGACTCCCATGATGCAGCAACCACAGCAGCCATCACTTCTATCATCATCACCAGAATCATCACTTACGGTTGGCTGCAATACCATTCAGCAACGTATAAATGATTACGACTACTCTGGTAGGTGATCATATGTACCATTTATAAGCTAATCTACACGTGTAAATAGTATATGGTTCTAAATTCATCAACAATAAATATCCATAACCTATATAAGTATTGTTTTAATATAAAGTAAATAAAATATCTTTCTGTTTAGAAAGAAACTCTGAGTTTGCCACTAGAATGATAAAAAATGATTTATCTTCATCATGTTTTCGTCGATTACATCTGGGAGAAAGAACTGTTGACGACAGTATGAAGTCAACTGTCATTTTTGATAAAAACACAAAACGACGAACATCAAATAACGATGATAAATTATTAGAAGTGAGTTAACTTCCTACTTAATTTACACAATATATTCTATTATCTATATACACGCTCATACTTAACCTAACTACAATATTATAACTTACATATTTTTTATTACTGATAATAACTCCAATAATGTGAATAAAGCAAGCAAATGAAATAAAAACACAGTTTGAGATTATACTGGATGACGGTAAAGTAGTAGATGTGTGCAAACGGACTTTATTGGCTGCCATTAATAAAGTTATAGTTGGTGAGATTTTTCTAATATGTTTATAAACCGTAATTATTAAATGTATAGAGAACTGATTGTTCATTTTTTTCAAATTTTTAGACAATTATGAATCTGCTTTGTACAAATTACGTAAGACTATTAGAATATTGGATGTATTGATATTTAACGAAGGTGGCAGCGGGATTGAAACTGTCAACATCGATACTGTTGGGCCATGGTTAAAAACATTGAAAGACATTGAACGAAAAATTACACAAAATCAACAGATCCAACACATTAATGGAGACTACAGTTCTAGTCAGTTAGGTACTTAATAAACAGACTGGACTTCGTTGAGAATACCTACTCTTTTTTTTCTAAAGTTTATTGATATATTTATTTCAGAAAGATACTAAAAATATGTAATAAAACTAAATAAGCCTATATAGTATATAATACTATATATTATATTAAAAAGAATATTTTATAACAATGTGATCGTATCTGATAAGTGATAACAAATTAGTAGTACATGAATAAAAATTGAAAATTGAACATATATATATAAATGTTGAAACACGCATGTTATATAACATATAATATTATGCAATCTGAAATTTGAATTCTTCTTAGGTACTACATATTTCATCGAAGTTACATAATATACACATACATGCATTGAAAATAATTACTTTTGCACACCATTACAACTATTATCTGTAACTTTAATAAAAATTATTTGTAAATTTCAACATAAATTCAACTATTTATAGTTATTATTTATTTGACTAAAACTGTAACAGTATAAGATATACTATAGTTGCGTCGAAACTGTGTTTTTAATTTTAACTTTAAATCATAAAAAACTATGAGAACTTGAATGGAGTCCCGAATATTAATCGAACCGTTTAAGTAGGACCCTATGAGATTAGTAATGCATCTAACAAATTGCTTGTTAATAAAATATATTTAATAGTTAAGTTCAAATGATAAATAATATTTATTTTTACCTTTTTGGTTACTATGTTTATAAGTATATAACTTTAAATAAAGTGTACAACAAAATAATTCCATAGACTTTGTCCACTAAAATAAAGTTATTAATGAAATCGTATATATAAATATTTTTTTATCTTAAACTGTTTTCAATCTTTCAAATTTTTATTTGTTTTTTTTATCAAAGCAAAATTTGTTATTAAAAATATGAATTTATATTTGGTTGTTTAATTAGAATTACCTAATGTTATTATATTAATGATATTAATACTATATGATATTTCAGAAAATAGTAACATAATAAAAACAGAAGACAGCTTCCACAAGAGATTAATACAACTAACCAGTAATAGGATCCGTAGAAATGATATCATTAACAATGAAAACAATGGTTGTAAATATCACTTTTGGTGGAAATCGAATTTAAAGCGTTACCGGACTACAGGAAAAGTTGTTGTAGAGCAACATCGATGTAATATAAACCGTCGTCAATACCAAAGAAACAATAAATACTCATAAATCAGGATACCATATTGCTGTAATCTGTGTAGGAGAATGATTGATCTTTGTAATTAATTATATAAGAATAATTTTCTTTCTTTTCTGGTCATGTAACTTAAGAGGATGTGAGCGCCGTCCGTTTTCTTCCTCTCCCACGCACAATATAGGTAGACGTACACATTTACACAGAATCATTTTTTTCATGTTTTTGAGTAATCGATAAAATAAAATCATTCATTAAAAAACTGTTAAATAATAATAATTTGAAGGTATGACATATCGATTTGTTTAAATATTGTCTCAAAACAATTTAAACATAATTTAAATTTACAAATAATTTTTTATTTTAAAAGTTGAATACAAAGTCAAATAATAATGAAAAATTAAACTGTTTTGTCAAAAATTATAAAAAATAATTTTGGGTGAAAGTGTGTTATCTGTTACTAAGAGAGAAAACAAATAAAGCGCATCCTCTTAATGCACTATATGCCCTGTCTTCTACGTACGTAGTTCTTGACAAGTAAATGTATATTTTATACAATAATTAAGCAAATGTTATACTTAATACAAATTATATTTTTTATTTTAAGGGGATTCGATACCGTCATTTTCTGTTTTTGTCTAACACACGCGTGACATGGTACTTAGACGTGTTTTTTGCCAAACATACTAATTGATCTAATGAAGCGATAATAAATCTGAAAACAGATTTGAATTTGTCGTTAAGTCTACTTAAAATCGACTTTCCCACATTTTTGATATTATCCCCCAAATTCCTAAAAATTTCATATTAAAAAAGAGCATTTAAACATTTTTGTATTTCAATTTTCGGAGAAGTTAAAATCAAAAAATCATAAATGTGGGAAAGTCGATTTCAAGTAGACTTGACGACAAATTCAAATCTGTTTTTAGAATACTTATCGCTTCATTAGATCAATTGGTATATTTGGCAAAAAACAAGTCTAAATTACTATGTCACGCGGGTGTAAGACAAAAACAGAAAATGACGGTATCGAATCCCCTTAACTATAGTTGTACTAACAACAAATTATTTTCAACTATATAATAATATTTAGAATAAGAGTACATTATTGTAATGTTATTATAATATTAAATTCGGGATGGGACCTAATATAAATTGGAGTGTACTCGTATATAATTGACATATTTAGAATCAATTCTACATTTTGATATTTATTTTAAGAAGCACGCACGTGATGTTTTTATGTTCAAAAGAAAAAACAGGAAAAAAACAGGAAAAACTCACATGCCTCGTAGAGTGATCCGATTTCGATAATTTTTCTCTTTGAAAAAAAAACACTCCTTACAGTACATTGGACTTGGATTTTTAAAATTCTATTTCTAAACAATATGATTCGATTTTGAATATAACCAATTTTCATAAGCTTTCGTTATTTTTATTATGTTTATTTTAAGCAACAAAATTGAAGATCGAAGTTAAATGCACCTATAGAAAATTATCCTCTAACTAACAAAAAAATCACCAAATCTGACCACCCAAAATGCTTGAGAGTTTTCCTGAAAACCGAGTTTTGAGTAAAAAACCACGCTTTTCATTTTTGTTCAGCGCGTGGCGGTGCTGTTGACATGTCTGCGAATGCAATGTGTGCATAGATATTTCCCGCATACAATCACACTATTCACACTCACACTAATCATTATTGACGATTAATACAAATACAGAAATAAACAACTACCTATGCTACAAGTTATTATTTGTTTTGAATAATTAATTATAAAAACCGTATTCCTAGATGCCGCAGGATCACCTATATTATATACTATTAAATATCATATTGTTCCTTTGTTTGTGTACTGTATAATTTGGTTTGGTTTTGTGGTCAGTAAAGCTGTAATAATTAGAAATTGGTCATAGGAAACGTTAATGAATAAGCTCAATTGTTTTATATGATGGACGATGGTCTTGACTACTATTGAAAAAACTTAGAAAACACAACAAGAATAATTAAACTTAACAACAGAGCAAAACAACACTTTTGGTAAAGGTAATATTATTATGTTACGGTCGGTATGGCCGCGGTTATGATACGCTGTGAGAACTGACTTGTGAGTTGTGACGTAGATTCGTCGCTGGTCTCCTATGTTCACGGACCGGTTACAATATAAAAACGATAATACAATAATATAATTTTGACTAACACTAGAATTGCAAACATATGTCATTACAATTTTCTCTGACATTCTTCACTCTTCCTTTGTCGAAGTACACATACCTCTAACAAGTCGGTCAAAAATAGAACATTTATAGATGAAGTAAAAGTTCACTATTTTTTCTTACTCAACCGGGAAAATTAGACTAAAAGAATAATTAATTAAAGGTTCTGATCTGGCATGACTTCAACTTCACACAGTGAAGAAGTAGTAGCCTTTAATTTTTTTCTTGTCTAATTTTCCCGGTCTCACCTACCACTTACACCGAATAGAAATTTTGTAATATACTGAATAGGTGGATACTTTAGATTATATCGATCCGTATATATTTATTCGACAACGAATAAAATTTTAGTGCAATTTATAAAAAAATACTTAATATATATATTTTATTAAATTAGTCAAAAATTATATAATTATGTACTTACTTAAAATATATTTGAATAATTGTATAATTAAAATTAACGACTTGTTGAAGAAGGTGAACAGTAAAAGGTGAAATAAAGTTACTCACAACAACATGCCCAAAAATCTATAAAATATGTATGCAGTTATGCCCTAAAAATTACCAATATATGCCCTTAAAATATGCTCTAAAAAAAATGTTATTGTAAAAAAATGATTAAATGATTAATTTTTTTTATGCATTATACAATTTATTCTATAATACAATATTATTGCCAATGAATAATTATTTACAAAAATGTGTGATATTAAAAAATATTTAAAATTAAAAAATTAAAATTAAAGTAATAATTAATAAGTTAAACAAAAACATTAATCAGATGATAAACATTTTAATTTTTACCCGATGTTATTACATTGAACAATTAATGATTTGTTTAAGTTTTCAAACAGCATTGAGCTTCGATTGTTTGTTAACAAATTTTTGTGGGGTGAAAAGGAACGTTCTACATCAACGGATGTAATAGGTGCGTTTTTACTTTTTAGATGCCTTCTAACATGGATACATCACCGGATAATACTTCAGAAATTGTCTTAAGAATATGAAAACCATTATTTTTTTTAAAAACATCTTCACATTTTTTGTTAATATTAGTGCTATTTGTACAATCATTCTTACCTTCAAAATTGTCGATTTAATAACGCACCGCACGAATATAAAGAGCGACTGACGACTAATAGGTGCGATAAAATATTATAATACTATATTTATCTCTATGCGATACTATTACTGTTACCGATCTACGGACATATAATAGTTGAGCCTAATAATTAGCGATTAAGATTGGATTACCTCCAGTTCTTTTCATAAATGAGCTGAAATACCAATAATAAGGTATATGAGTGAAACAAATTAATATTTTGTAATTTCCGAGTTTTTAAGATCTTAAATAAGCTTCAAAAATATACTAAATGCTAAAATATGCCCTAAAAATGCAAAAATATGCAAAATAAAATTTCGTATACAGTATCGTTAGGTTATAAAACAAATTTTGGTATAAACTAGATATTTTTTTGACCAACCAATAGAAATATGCAAATGCATAAAAGTGTTAGCCCTACTTATTATTCATTAGTTATTTCTATATAGTATGCAGTCGTCAGATGCAGACATGCAGTAGGTAAGTTGTTGTTGCCTGCTGTTAATTTTACTTCCCAATACTTTTAGTTAAGAGTTACCGTTAAGGCGTTACCATAAATTTGGTTTTGACTTTTGTTTTACTACAAACCACAGAAATATATTAATTATAACATAAGCAGTGTCGCAACTACCGCCGGTGCAGGCGGTGCAAGGCACCGCCTGATGGACCTACAAAATGTAAGTTTTGGGGCCTCAGATTTGTAGGAACTTTTTATTTCGTATATAATAAATAAAAGCAAAATAAATTATAATATTTAAAAAAAAAAATTATTATTCCTTATCGATTTAGGTATCAGCGTGAAATGTAAATGTGTGATGTACATATTATATAAATTGTAATCAATTTCGTCTGAATTAAAAGTCTATTTTTATACATACTGGAAACACCATACGGGCCAATTCTCACCTATCACAAACATTATATGATTATACAACGCAGTAATATAAAATATAAGTAAACACTCATACGATTATGAGAACCGTCACTCGCTTATTCGACATTTATCAGTATTCAGTGGATTATTCATAATTACAGAAGTTATTTGTTTATTGTTAACATTTTGTATAGTAAAATTGATTTGTGTTTTATCGTTAAGTGTTAACGTTTGTTAATTGTTTTCATACTATATGATACGTTTTTGGTAGACGGTAGTATAGATTAGTTTGTTCTTAATTAAATCGTTTTAATTTTTAAATGTTTACTCTAAAAGATTTGTTGCCTTTTTGGTGACGCAGATGGTGATAGGAGGCTTGATATAAATGAAGGAAATCTTTGTATTACAGTACTTTTACCACTCATGGATACAGCAATCGTCCAACTTAAAGAAAGGTTCTCAGGTTTATACGAAGTAACTAACAAATTTAATTTCCTTCTACCTCAAAATATTTTTAAGTCTAGTGAACATGATATTGTAAAGGCAACTTATGACTTTCAGCTATTTTATGAAAATTACATCAGTACGGATATAACTAGACAAATGTTATGTTTTAAAGATGCATTTAAAGATTCTCTAAAAACAATATACAGCATAAGAAATCTTTTGCAGTATAGGTATACTAGACAATGATGTGGCCTCTATTTACAAAGATATTTTCAGATCATGTATTATTTTCCTAACATTACCGGTCACCGTAGCAAATGCAGAACGTTTATTTTCCAAATTAAAAATGATTACAATTACTTAAGAAACTCCATACAACAAATTCGCCTAACAAATATATGTATTTTAAACATTGAGCGAAACCGTACAAATGAATTAGATATAAATAAAATAATTAATGATTTCACTAACAATAAAGCAAGAAAAAAAATTTTCTTTAAGTTTTTGTTTAAACATATTTTATTTATGTTGTTAATTATTACTTATAAGTATTAGTTATTTTTTTATTCAATAAATCAATAAATAAATGTATTACTCATATAGTCATATTCATGTATTATTAAAACATTAGATATTTGCCAAATTAAAAAATGGGCCTATATACACATATTATTATATAATATACTATATACCTTCACTATAACTGTAAAAGGTGACCAAATATAATATAACAGAATGATAAATTATTGTTACATAAGTTACCATAAAAATATATTATTCTTAATTATTATATGTTTATAAAAATATGATATTATAAATAAACAAATAAAGAATATTTGGAAAATAAAGTAATAAAGTTGTATAGTTATAACTTAAAAGTTATAAGGTAGGTATGAAATTCCTCTGTTGATTTATTTTTGATAAATGTGTTGGTTGTTCTTCACAACATTTATTCTCCTGTAAGGCTGTAAACATGCATTGTTTTTAGCTAAGCGTTCCAAGGGTTTCTTGAGGTAAAGTAGAAGTTGAAATTCTAAGAGAAAATATCATAAATATTTATTTTTGTGGTGTATGATATTTGAGTACTATTGTATAACCCCCAGTCATAGCTCATCAATTCATCAAAGACTGATTCAAAATGTAGACACCACTGACGATAAAGGGCCTCTAAAATTTATCTCACGCCTGGGCCTCAAAATTGTAGTTGCAGCACTGATACATAAGGTAAGAAACCAGGTACTTTTTTAGAGGAAAGAGATATATTATAATGAGTACCTTTTTCATAGGAAAGAGGATTTATATTTATTGATAAATTGATATATCTGAACAAATTAGTATTAATATAAGTAAATTTCCTAAAGACTATTTAAATATTACAAATATGTACTAATTATTAAAAATAAACAATAACACTAATTTTTTAACATAGTAAAAAGTCATAAAGAAAAAGGAAATATTATTTTTAAAGCAACCTACAAAAGTATGAGTTAATTAAAATGAATTATAATTTTTGTTTTAAATATTTTAGTAAAGCACATAACGTTAATACATAACTACTTTTTGTTGTAAACTTCGCATCAGAAACACTGAATATCTACCATACTTTTCAAAGCTTTGTTGACAGCAAACAACATTTGCTCTACCCGTTCTCGATCTTCAACAACGCCTTCTTCTTCAACTAAAACTTCATTAAACGATTGATTAATTACATACAAAGTAAAAACTTTTTCGTCCAATTCATGTTCGAAATTGTTCAAAACTAAATTCACCATTTTATGGTGAATTCTTTTTGGTACATAGTCAACAATGATTTCTCTGATAAACTCAAAATAACAGTGAGTCAACCGTTTATGAATCTTGACTTGTTCTGATGTTTCAGCAGCATGGTCAGTTAACCCGAATAACATTTCTTTGAACTTTTGTATAAGATGTTCCTCTTTAACATCGCCCTTGTTCTGTTCAAAAAACGCAGAAATAACATTAGGAGCATCATTCTTTGTATTGCACTCATTAGTAGAAAAGTGGACTAATTTTAGCAAAAATATAGGGTTTTTCGTATTCAAACATGTCTGGTAAGTCTCAATGTGAGAATTTATACATTCTTTCAAGTTAGTTAGATGCTCATCCAATACAGTATTAAGGACATTTCTCACCTGAGAACAAATAAAAATAATTATTCAAAACAAAATTGCATGTATGATTATTATTAATAAATTTATGACAGATTATAATTGAACATTTTTAACATTTGTTAGCTATTACAGTATATATTCGATAGGTAATTTAACCATTTTTTATTTGTCTTTGTTAATTAAAAACAAATTGTTCATATGCAAATAATATAAATTTAGTTGGATTGTTTTTCATGTATTCAGGGCATTTTTAAGGGCACTTTGGATGGTTTTAGAGTATTTTTGGATAGCTATTATTACATTTTTTTATACTCTCAATTTGATGTATGATTTATAATTTGAAGTACAATATAAATAAAAAGCAACTTATGTTACCTCAAATAAATTAAAATTTTAAAAACATTGATCACCTATTTATTAATGATTGGTGAGCAAACTTCAAGTGTAAAGTTATAAAAGTTTAGTCGGTTATTTTTGTTTCGTTACCGAAATCAGAATTTTAAATATATACACTATACTTGTTAAAGTCATACTTACATCTGAATTTATCCTGGGATATCTTTTTAAAGTTCCTAAAATATTTTCATCAATTAAATCAAATATTTTCAGCATCTCTCCACGTACAATGTCCACAGCGCGCAAGGATGGCTCAATTAGGTTATTCAACTGTCTACCTATCATATTCTCCAGAGCTTTTAGATTGACGAACGAGCTGTTGGTAATTCCAGCTGTGTTCAGTAAAATAATTCTTATCTGTTCTTCAGATAAGTTAAGTAAGGGATCAATTTTATTCACTTTCTCTGAATACTCTTCATTTATAATTTGTGAAATTCTGGCACCACCCATAACTGTGTTATCGGAAATATTTTTTGTGTTGCCCAGTACTGTATCACAATACGACTTGTATATTTCTTTAAATAAGCCTAATACAAATGATACCTTGCTATCAGGTGTTTGCAATGTTTTTAACTCATTTTGTAGTTTTGTCTTTGTGTCATTTAAATTTTTTAGCAATGCTGGAAGAGTATTTTTGATATGTTTTACCAATATATCTTGCAGTTTTTTAGCCAACACTTTGTTACCGTGATTTTTGTAGATGTCTGGGTAGTTCATTCTCAAAAAATCCTTTTCACTTTTCACCGTTTCTTTCATTGATTTATTGTCGTTTATGTCTTTTTGGCTTCTATTGACCACTCCAATTATGCCCAGTTTCACAGGAATTCTATGACCACAGAGCAGATCAGTAGTGTCTTGAATTGTACCTTTGTCGATCAAATCTAACTTAGTAACCACGGCAATTGTCCTTGCACCTTCAGGGTCCATTTTTCTAGCAATTTTCAGACTTTCAGATGTACTTGGATCTGTATTAGCAGTTACAACAGCTAAAATTATTGAATTCGGCTGTTTTACATATTTTAATATAAGCTCTTGAATTTGCTCATCAATATCCTCCGGTTGATCGCCAACAGGTACTTTTGTGATTCCTGGCAAATCCACAAATGTGAGATCGAAGGACAGAGTAAAAACTTTCAGGACGATTGGCTCATGGGTAATGCCCTTGTTATCACCAGCCAAAACATCAGTTCGTTTTTCGATTTCATATCTTACTTCATCAAAATTTTCATAAATTATACCATCTTTATGAAGGAACGTTGCCCAACATTTAATATTACGATTTTTTGTTATTTTGACCATTTCCTGGTAGTCTTCTTCAGAATACCTAATCATTTGAAGAAAGAGTGGTGCACGAGTTACAATTCCTGTACCTCTAGGTAAAAAAGATTTACCGACCAAACTTTCCAAAACTGAGCTCTTTCCCGAACTCTGAGATCCGACAACCACAATCTGAGGTAAGTCAATTTTGTGTTCTCCGATTACAGCAAAAACATCCTGTAATTTGTTTACAATCTGAATCAAGGATTCCATTGTAGTATTGTAGAATTTCGATCAACAATCTAAAATATAAAAAGTTTGTTATTGTTTATTTATTTAATTTGTAAATGTATCAACTATGAATTAGTTTATAGTTTTGCTGTTAAGTACATTAAAATAAGTCATAGAACATACAGGAATACACAATTATCGTGCAAATAAAAATGTATCATTGATTTATCAATTTAATGAAATACCATTAAGGTATATTTTAGTAGATAGTATATATAATTACTATTCAACAATAATATATAATTAAACTATGAATTCAATTATGAAATGAGAAATTATATACATAATTTATAGAACATATTATAATAATTAATACTTTATGATTCAAAGTATTATAATTGTAAATGAATATTTGCAAAATATTTTACTTTGATAAAATTGAAAGGCATTCTGGCTGACATATATATTAGTTACCCCCACAAATAAAGATAATACTAATGTAACACAAAATGTATATTTATAAATTAATATTTAATAATATAGTCTTTTATGGTACTCATAGTTTATGGTATACCTAAATAATTAATATGACCTGAGTTAAAAAGTATTATTTATGGTTAAGTAGCAAAATATTTATATTTTGATCATTCAATAATGGTTTTTACAATTAACTTTTAATTCAATAATGTTGCACTCATTATTTGTTTTAAAAAATGTGTTTCTGATTTGAAATTAAAGTATTCATTACTTTTTAAATAATATTGCCAGCACATCTTAAAAATCAGCAATAGGTAGACATGTAGAATATTAGAATAGCTAACTGTTGAATGTTTAAGGTGGCGATTGGATCTTTACTGCATTTAGACTATAATCTGGGAAACAAAAATGTAGTCTAGTAGTCCAATTTGAATATTGAAGACTAATTTAAATTTGTTAGGCTTTATGTTTCGTAGGAAATATTGGTTCATTTTTTTACCTCACAATATTCGTTTTGAGAAATTAAGTAAATTTGTTTGGAACTGCAGTACATAAGCTTTTCAAAGTATCATTATCAAAAATTTTTCTCATACAAGACATAGATTAGAATTCAAATTTTTTTGATAATTAGCATAGGACTTTTAGCCAACAGCGGGGTCACTCTAACAACCATTTACGACTAACACAACAACCGTGAGAGGCGATGACAAGGTATAAATTGGTTAAATGTTGTCACTAACAGCTGCCTTGATTTAAAAATGTCAAACTTAATACATTGTATATGAGTAGTGTTATTATATGTAGTAGTATTGCATCATAGTTCTTGGAAAAACATTTTTGGAAGTTTCTGTGGTAATTTATTAAATAAATTAAGCTTAAAAATTTAAAACAAGGTTTCTCACATGAATTAAAAAATGAATGAACTGCTTATAAAAAAGTCTCAACATGGTAGAGAAGTAGTTCAATAAACTCATTTTATAGATCATAGATGTTATTAAACTGCTTTGTTTATAATGGCAGACATTCCAAGATTTGGTCCATTTCTTCTTCATTATAAATTATAATGTTTACTGTATAGCAAAAATTTAAAAACTTAAAAAAATGTTTAATTTTAAAATTAATTAATGTTAAAGAAAAATATATTATGTTTAATCAAGAAGTTTTACCCAGTGTGGCTTAGTGCTTACTGAGTGTTAAATATGGGCAAGTGGGTTCGTTTTTACTGAACATTAGGGACATTGTAAAGGATTTGTTAAATTTAAATTCAATGATATTAAATCATTGTAACAAAGATAGAATATCTAAGAACAATTTATGACATTATTGCTATTAAAGTAATTAATTTTAATATTAGACATTAGTAGGGCTCGGAATTTAAAGAATATAATAGGTACTTCTTTTTTATATAGGAAATAGAAATCAAATTTTTAGTCTTAAAGGACAAGAAATTCTAACCTAAGTTAAGACATAGAATCATTTTCACAACTGAAAATCTAACAAAATTCATGATAGTTAATTCTTTTTTAATTTTAATTAATTAATTAATTATACACTAAGTTAAAAGTTATTAGTTAATCTTTGGTCATGCTTTTTTTTCATTAAATGTTTCTATAAAATCTGAACCCTAGACATTAGTAATACAGTCGGTTGAATTAATGTTTGCCAAAAAGAATCGCATTTAAAAATGTCAATGAAATCAAAAAAATCAAATTTGTGTCTATAAAATAAAATAAATAATTTTAAAGGTTCTAACTTCTAAGTATTCTAAAATAATATTTTTTAATTACAACGAATATACTAAAATTGTTGTTCTTTGTTTAAAATTTAAAATATAAATTATTACCACGGAAGATAGGTGGAGGACAGTTATTTTAGCCGAAACATACCAATCTTTTGTCCACTATACTGGTCGACAATCGACATAGTAATTCGATAATACTTTGTAAAATTTGTTATTAAGTTTACTTGAGATCGGCCAATCCACTTTTCCCAATTTCACATACCCAACAACTATAAATGTAGTTTGAAATGTTTGAATATTTTAAAATTTCGGAATTTTCAAAAGTTGATTCTTCGGAGTTAAAATCCGAAATCTTAAAATGTGGACCAGCCGCTCTCAAGTAGACGTAACGAATTCAGATCGGTATTCCAAAACCTTATCATATTATTGGGATCAATCGGTATGGTGGACAAAAAGTATGTAATTGCAATAATTGGGCATACATTTTTAACCGTTCAAGCTCGCAACGCCGAAGCGACGACTTGTACATGAATATGCATGCGTGGGAACCTTCCGATAGTTCTTTTACACAGACACACACAATAATGAATAATGATACACATTCATTTACAAGACCTATTAATTTTGCCTATTTCGAACTGTCTGCCACCAATCCCCATTATCTAAAATACAGAAATAGAATCACAAGTAGGTACTCGAATCAGGTTACAGAATTAACTAATTGTATGCAACTTTGTTTTAAATTTAATAAAAAAAAAAAAATATATCAATAAAAGTTCAATATTAAATGCATTTTTAACTAAAAAATCATTTTTTAATTTTTTAATTAGATAAATTTTTACAAAAATTGAAATTGAAATGCTTATAAATAAAATCGTACATACGTATTTTTAATATTTTTAACTGATATGGAAACAATATACACCAGGAGCCCTTCATTAAATTTTCAAGCATTTTGACCCAACAAATACAATTTTATTTAAAAAAATTGAAAATATCCGTAAACAGTTATAAACGAGTCAAAACGAAAATTGTATCAATTATATAAATTGAGAAAGTGAACATGTGGTGCAAATTACAAGTATCTTTATTTTATAAAGGTAGACAAACTTATAAGTAAAGGCCGGATTTGTATGCATTTTAAATTGTAAAATATGCATGCAAACATGCACCAAAAAAAGTCAAAATATGCAAAAAAAAAAAAAATGCAAAACATGCAAAATAAAATTTTTATTTTTATTACATTTTATATTTAACTTTAATTTTGCAGTAATAATTATTTATTAATTTTAATTATAACATTTTCATTAACAAAAAGTAAGATGTAGGTATAATATAGCAAATATGCAATACACAAATGTAATTTGTTAAACAGTAATTTAGTTTTTTAGCATTAATACATTGCAAAAAATAATTTATTACAACTCATAAGTATTATAAGTATTTTATTACAACTAAATAGTAGATACATTTGTGATAAAAATACGAAAAAAGTACAAACAATTTAATGTAGTAGGTATATTAATTGGAAAAACAATAAGTCATCAAAGTATGTTCCATATTTATTGTTAGCAACAACTTACGAGGAACCTCTTATTATGTTTTCAAGTTTTTTGAAACAGCGAAAAAATTTATATCGACATTAGTTTAAAAAAAACCAATAATAATTGAAAATTTCATATGCATATAAATAATTTAACACGAGTCAAAAATGACTAAAAAAGTATTTTGAAAATTGAATGACGTATAGAAAACGCAGATATAATCATTCAGTGAACATTCTATGTATCTATTTTTTTAGAGTTACATCGAGAACCATGGTCGATTTTGTCAAAAAACGGGTTTCCGTAAAAATTCCAGTTTTCCTTAATGTTTTGTTCTGTTTTTTTTCCTGTCTCTTATGAAAACTATTGGACAATTTTACTTTTGACCTTCCAGAGTACCTACTAGATTTACTTTCCTACCAGAAAAGTTGCTCTTGAAGAAAATCGAATTTTTACTTTCAAAAAACGTGATCACAGGATCAAAAAAAAAAATACACATCATTGTAAAATACATTCATCATTCATCGTTCTATCTACATATATATGCAATTTTAAGGTTGAACCACATAAAACCAAATACAAGGGAGTTAAGTAATCGGGCATGCCCCGTTTCCGCCAAAAATCCGGTTCCCTGATTAACACATAGCCCTTTTCCACCAAAAACAAAAAAGGTATGATTCCCGTTTCCACCAAAATTTATTTCCGCCAATTACTATTTGGGAACCATGTTCAGTTGTTTCATATTCTTATCATTATACATTTTAATACAAGTTTAGATATTAATATTGCTTTAGTTGAATATAGGCACAATTTTATTAGTTTTTAAAATATTATATAACGCATAGTGCCAATAGCCATTGGCCACTGACGTTTTTAGCTACTTTTTTTCCAAATATTATACTAATTAAATATTAGATATTATTTGAACGCAATTGTCTAAAATACACTTGCAATTTTTTTGAAGTTGAATTGGTAAATTGTCATTGAGGTAATATTATTTAAATAAATTTGAAAAAAACATTTATGAAATTTAATAAGCTAACTAGATAGTATTTGCTTTATTTTAGATAAGGTTTCCCTTTAAAATTAAATAATCTCGAATTAGTTGAAAATCATGCAAATCGAACTAAATTCATAAGGAAGGTGGTAGAATGTAATTAATGTAAATATTTTCAATACATTTTTATACTCACGAATAATATATGTTATAGCAGTTCAAAAGCAGTCGAAAACTGCTATGGTAATAGCACCAGTAAAACTAATAACCGTTGAAGTGTTTACTGAATAGCCCAAGAGCGAGTGACTTGCCTGACGACTGATACCGCGAACCGGGGTCTTAAGAATGGTCATGGGTGACGAGCAGATTATCGAAGTGGGTGTGCTGCAGAATTATGTTATTCCATTTTGCAGCACAATTCCCCCTTCTACCAAATGTAAATTGTAATTATCTCCGACGAAAACGTTGTTTGTCATTGGGGAAATCGATAATATCTTAAAATATCGACGAATGAAAAAATAGCGATTATGCCGTTGAGTTTGTCTTATTTTTGCGTTTCATACACGAATCGTAAAAAAAAATATTATGAAGTTCTAAATAATCGTGATTTTATTTTATACATAATAATATTATACTATAAATAAAATCTTTATTATTTTTATTTTGTGAGTGGCCAAAACTGGTGTGAAACTCGTTGTAAAAGAATCATAATAATATAAAATTCAATCATTTACTTTAACGGGGAATATAAAAATATAAATAGGTACCTAAATAAATAGAGTTAAAAGGTATATCATTCCACTCGAACGTAGGATTCATTCAAAATTTCAAATCGTAATTTAGCTAGTCGAGTCAATTATTATCAATTATAAAAACGTCTAGATAACAATACTTATGTAACATAATATGTCTTATACAGTTATACTCTTATAACACGTCACCACAGATGTAATAAAAATCACAGATTCAAATATACATAAATCTATGATCAAATTAAAAATTAGATTGAAAAAATGTCTTTTTAGTATTACTTACACAGGTTACTACTTACACCTACAGTTTATAGCGTATATAGCAATTGCGGGGGAAATTAAGGTCCGGTGGCTGTTGATAAACTCTCCAGGGTCAATATTATGTTTACTTAAAGTAGATATGTACTTTGTCCCGAATTGTTTTAAAAGTTGTTACTAATGTTACTATAGTACTATACTATTTTTCAATACTTGTGTATAATACAATCGGCCTGTAAATATTTAATTCAATTCCATAATTATCATATAGTAAAAGAATTGATTTTTATTATTATAAAATTTACTTTTTTTATATTAAATGTATAAGTATTGAAGAAGACCTGGGTAAATGTGTAGTGTACTATGGCAAGTACAAAGACACAAAGTATATTTGCTTGTAATAACAATAGAGGGACTCATCAATTTCCTAATCACGAAAAATCGGTAGCTGGTTTTAAGAAAATATGTATCTATTTTTGTAAACGTAAAAATTGCAATCCAACCAATAACTGTAATAAATTATTATATTAACTACACAAGTATAGATTTTGATGAATCCAAAATTCCAAAACAAAAACCACCAGGATAAAAATACAATTCAAAAACACGACGTTTAAAGCCAAGAGTCAACCAACAATATTTATTTTAAATAATGCAAACAAATTTTGTCGGAGTAACATTTTTACTTGAAATTCCTGCTTAAATTATTGTTTGTATGCCTACTAAACGACATTGTACCTATAGTGAGCAAGGAAAAAATAGAAGCAAAATCTTTACATGTCATACAGTCGCAAGGCACAAAACAATTTACGTCGGCGATTTTCTGATATTTTCATTTTATCATAATATGGATATGTGAAACATCACAAATTAAAAATGCTCATATCTCTCTTGAAAATGAAAATATCGAAAAAAAGCCAACGCTTAAGCACAGATACTGTTCTTGCCTAAGAGTTGGATAATAGGTCAATTCATTCTAATATCAAAAATAACAGCACTCTATTAAAACCAGTGGCGTAGCCAGGATTTTTTTCGGGGGGGGGAGGCTGATCAATTTTTACACAGTGGTGGTTTAGTTTTTGATCGAATACCATAGACCATTAAAATAATTTTTTAATTTTATTAACATTTCGGGGGGGGGCTGCAGCCCCCTCAGCCTCCCCCCTGGCTACCGCCACTGATTAAAACTAGTGAACGAATATTAGCTATGTCGTATCCGTAAGTATGTAAGACGGAGACGGCGACAAAATAATAACTCATAAGTAGGGATGGGCCGATACCACTTATTACCGATATCCGATATTCCGATATATGCTGCCGATATAAAACCGATACCCGATAATATATGGAAATGTTAAAACAACATTTTTGACAAAAAAAACATGAGCCGATACCACCATAAAACCGATACCATCAACCGATATTATAATAAAACCGATACCCGATAAGTTATAACACAAATCATATTACCCAGAAAAGTGAAAACATTGATTATTATAAAATAATCTATAGTATTTGATTATTGATAACCTAACCTGTGCATTTGTGAATTATGATACTATCAATACTATGCTGATCGATAGGTTTTTTTTTTTGGTATCGGTTGAAATATCGGTTTTGAAAAAAAACCGATATCTAGTATCGGTTCTAGTATCGGCCCATCCCTACTAATAAGTGCATGGGTTGCATCCTCAACAAATAAAATAAAAATATTATATCGTAATATTATCATCGGTATGCTATGGAAAATACAAATCGCATACAATTATGAATTAATGACGAAGAAGATAAGCTGAACGCGGCGGCGTGACTCAGTCGCTCAGATATTCCGACAACAGATTTTAATATTCGGGTATTTTTATTTATAGTTTTATGGAGCAACATTCTACGTTATCTGAAATAATAATTATACATACTAATGGCTAACAAGACCATGACAAATTAAATTTAATTTGTCATGAACAAGACTACGTCCACACACAACGATAATATTTAAATATTAATATATTATAGGCTAGGTTTTGCCGTGTGCCGCCGTCTGGGTCCGTCAGGCATTGCTGCACGCAGGAGATTTAATAAAATATAATCATATTAAATATAGTTATTAGTTAGATACTCAATAATATTTTTAATGAAAATATTTATATTATTCTTTTTTAACTATACTTTTTTTTTGTACATGTAGGTATGTAAATGTAAGCGTGGATTGTATTATTACATGGTGAACCCTACCACCCTGGACAGTGATTATTGCTTACCGGTCTCATCGACTTAGTGAATATCGGTACCGTGGCAATAGTATAATATTAATAAATAAATAATATATTTAAAGGTGCTCGGTGCTAATGTGACTTTGTCCTCGAAAACACACGCTATGGGAATAATGATCCCGACCTGTAGAATTACCCAAATTTAATTATTATTTTTGCATCGATAGTGGGAAAGATTCTACAGATTGCATCTAACTTTGAATTTCAATATTTTTATTTAAAACTTAATAGTAAGTCTTTAAAACAATGGCAACGTTAAGCTTTTTTTCCAAAATACTTTTTATTATTATTTAAAATCAAACATAAAATCTGTACTCAATGCGAGCTGTAGAATGTCGACATGTCGTTGATTATCAATTATAAAAGAAATTATCTGAAAATATTCACTTGTCAATGAGTTATGCATATTCCCTTTGAAATCATTTCTGTCCTCCGAAACCTCCAAAACTCCCGAAACGGACAACTAAATATTTTGTTATTTGTGACATGTACTTGCGAGTGGGTGTGCGTTGTACTCATACCCCCGCACTCACACTAATGACCGCTTACACTACTACACACTCACAAGATCGTGTGTTGCCTATACGATATGTGAATTTATTAGGTATTTAGGTTGTCTATAATTTACTCCAATAAATAACCGGCACCGGGGGCTTTCCACTTTTTAATGACTAATGACTGTACCTCTCCATTTTCTTTTGGCGAGTGATACTATGACACAGGGCATGAAAAAAGGGTCACCCATCACAGTTAAATCGAGTAAAGACAAGCTTTTTGGTCTCAACGGCTGAACCCACGAATCCGACTTATGCTTATCCTAATCAAAATGGAACTTCAAAACTTCTATAGTTCTATTCCTATAATGTCGAAAAAAATATGAGTATCATGTTTACATTTATTTAAACAGATTACAAGTTGGATACTACAATTTTGAAGGCATCGTTCGGAACGAGTTCTAACCTAACCTAACCGTCGGTGTTTTTAAGTATTGGCTATTTTTATGCAGTGCAACGTTAATGACGTTCTTAATGTTTAAAACGGGCAATATTTTTGACTGTGGTTAAAAATATGATAATATTAACTTCTAGTTTTAAAAATCCTATAATATTTATACTGCATAATATGAAAATGTCATGTCGATAAATAAAAATAAATATAAATTAAACAATATTATTTTAAATCCCCAATCTCTAAAATATTATCATCTATTTTTTCATACATTTTATTTTCTCTTATACTTACGACTTACCAAAATTTTCAGTTACCAATACTTTACGTAAGGTATCATAAAAAATTGATTAATTTAATGGTTCAATAAAATTTAGTAGACCATGCCCATGGCCCACTTAATCATGTTTAGGGACTACTGTAGATTAGTTAAACGTTTAATGATTTTATATTCAACCCGAAATTAGTGTTTTAATTTAATTTGTTCGACAATTTAAAAAAAATCTAAAATGTAGCTACTAAAATAGGTACTATAGGTTCTTAGTTGTTAGCCTCACCCCTCACACCTTTTTGGCCAAAAATGTAGACTTTTTGTAGCTTATGATAATATATATTATACAATATAACTTGTGAGATGTATTGTATTGAGAATTGAGATAGAAACTCAAGTGGTTTTTTTTCAGTTATATGGGCTGCTCAAAACAGTCAAAACTGTTATAATTTACTACCTAAATCATTACAAGTTTTGTCGATACGAATTATATACGCCATACGGTGAACAAATAACTATTTTTCTTAAGGTTTGGGTTAGTTTAGTTTAACTCTCTAGTTCCTATTGATTTCGGGAACATCAAAAAAAAATATATCATGGAAGGTAAGTAAATATAAAAGTTATATTGTGAATTATCCGTAGCAGCACACCCTCGTTTAGCCTCACCTCGCCAACACTCGCTTAGCCGTTTAGGTAGACTAGGTAGAGAGACCTGGAGTGTTCTACCCGACGTTTTTAATCTTTTTAATACTTCGTCCGAGGACTGGTCGCGTTTTCCGTCTTAGATAAAAACGAATTGGATCGCGTCCGTCGTGTATCCACTGCACACCACTGCACACTCAAATAAAATACAATGAG